AACACTCATGTAATGGTTGGCTGAGTCAGGCGGGGTGTCAACAATCTGTCATGTAACAATTGAGCTCTTTGTGATTGTTGAAAAGTATGTATTAAATTCCCCCAGAAAATAGACTGTCTTAAAAAATCATGTAGGAAGGTGAAAGAATATTTTATATAGCATTTTAGTTCAGCAAAATTGGCCTGTTAAATTTTAGGGTCTTTGAAATTCATGGAAAACTCCATAGAAAAAGGTGCACACCTTTTTTTAAAAGTTGATTTTTTATTATAAACATTAGCCTTCTGGGGTTAACATGATGTTATGTATTATCTTAGTAGAGGCCAATATTTTCAATAGTGAGAAATCGCATTTGTGGAAACATATTTCAGTGTGTACCTTTTGTGAGTTAATTCTTAAGCAATACAAAACTGGAAATTCCACTATAAAAGGCATAAAGATATCAGGAACGTAGAAGCAGTTATACATAATTCAGCCCATTATTGTGTTTGTTATTAAATTTAAAACACTAGGTTTGGGTTTAGAATAATGTATTACCAAATGTTTTTCTCTAATTATCATGCCTAAGCAAGTCATTTTGTAGGTGCTTTTTGCCTTTATGGTTGAATTCAAGTCAAATATAAACAACTGATTTTTTTTTTCCTCCAAAGGGCTTGGAAAAACAGGGAAATACAGGGAAAAAAAGTCACTGTGGCGAAAGTCCATGAATATTTTGAGCCAGAATTTAGACCTAATAGGAGACTAACAATCCATGCTATTGGGCCCTTTTATCAAAGTGTTTGAGCATTAAAGTCTTGCTTCATTAATTTATTGCCAAGGATCTGAATCTTTCACTTTTCTTTATGAGTTGATGTTTATAATCAGCTTACACTTACTAATGATTTGTATGATATTACCACTTTTTCCCATCACGATTAGGTAATGGGGCAGTTTCAAAAGTAACACCTCCAGAATAGCTACATTGTTAAAGTTCATACTTGCATCTACAAAAAGTATGAGCAAATTTCCAGAACAAAACAAATTGTCTTGATCTCCTTGCCTAACACTTTGTTTTCTGTCAGATTTACTTCCAAGGTAGACTTCCTGATGGAGGCTTATATTTTGATGTAAAATATTGGAAGGTTGCAACTGTGAGCTAATTTCCTTGTTACTTTCCTGGTTGAATACTACTGCAGTGTTAATTTCATGCTATTCGTATCAAAATAATATTATATAAGTATTACAAGCTTGAACTGGTTTAACTGCTTATAACACTCTGGAATTGCTATTCAGATGAGCTGGAATATTTGATAAATTAAGGTCTCTAGTAACATGAACAAGTACTAATGTAAAGTGATGCTTTCATCTCAGGTCTCACTTCCTTCATAATCATTTTGATTGTCATTGCTTTTGCATTTCAGATGCATTAGTTATTACTAGTTGTTATGGCAACAATAAAAAACATTGGTTAAGTAGAATTAAAATTATAATTAAATGGGCTCATAAAGATGTCTTTGGGTTTCTTTTCTAAGATTCTTTTTTTTTGTCTTGAAAATTAGAAGTGCATAGAGAGAGGAGAAAAGAGGGATCTTGTGTCTGTTGGTTCTGTCTCCAAATGGCTGCACTGGACTTAATCAAAGCCTGAATATAGGAGCTTCTTCGAGGTCTCCCCAGTGGGTGCAAGGGCCTAATGATTTGGGCCATTTTCAGCTGTTTTCCCAAGAATAATAGCAGGAGCTGGATAGGAAAGTGGAGCAGCCAGGACTTGAATTGATACCTACATAGAATGCCAGGAATGCAGAAGGTGGCTCAACTTGCTCTGTCACAATGCTGGTTCCTCAAAAAAATTTTTAAAATTGAGTATATTACTGAAAAGTCTTTTTGGTTCAGTACTGATGAAACTAATATGAAATATATATTTTCTTTTTCATAATAGATGTTACATTGTGAATTTAATATTTCTTTGCTCACTCAGGATGTTATTCTGCATAAGGTCATTATTTGGCCATGTCAGGTTAATGGAGAATGTTGGATTGTGTATATGGTGGTTGATGGTCAAAGACTAGACATTGTCTTGAGGCCTTACTCTACAATGGCCAGGGGCCAGAGTTAGAGTAGAGTATTTAAATTGCAATTCTACCAATTTCTAGTTGTATGACCTTGATAAAATTATTTTTGCTCCTCAGTGTCCTCAAAAGTCAGTTTTCTATAATGTAGATTTGTTCAACTATACTTAGCTTATAGAATATACTCAATAAATCAGAATGATGGATCTACCAAGTGATATATCTAATTGGTAAGAACTTGATACTTTTCCTCCAATTAATCTATTTTTCAAATAGTAACATCAACAGTAATAACAATATTATTTATGGAATACAAAATAAAATTTCCTATTTTAGTATAAATGTTAAAAATGCTAACATCTGGCTAATGGCTTTTTGTAATATTGATGTGATATGTGGACATTTGAAAACGTTTTATATGGCTGGCAGTTGCACTGTGACAGCACAGTTTGAAATATTTGTTATGATATATGATAGGTCGAACCAGAAACTCAGGTGGTTTATCTCTATGTATTCTGTATGCTTTGATTTCAAGTGGAGAGTGCTGGTATTTATTCCAGAGCTTTCCAGAACTGTAGATGAGCACAAATGATGTGAGCTAGAGTCCTTCTGTACAACCCCTGGCTTGAGCATGTGATGCTCAAACTCAGAATGTTCTGTTAGCTTGTACCCGTGGTTCCCCAGGGCAAAGGTATTACAATGTTCCTAATTTTTTTCAAGCTTTTCCTATGTTTGTACATGAAGATTAAAATTGAAAGGAAGTCAGTTGCAGAATATGGAAGGCAGAATACTATTGTAGACCTTTTTGCTGCTCTTTTATTCCTTGTAACTTTTTTACACACATAAGGAAGCTATGACAGAGCTTTGTTTGAGCATTTAGTTATGGTTTTTTTGTCCTCCAGAACCTGGTATCTGTAACTGATATTTAATAAGAGTGGGATGACTAAACACAATATTCGTTCTTTGGTCACATTGTGCTCTTAATTTGTCATGGCCTGCAGTACCGGTTCTGCAACATTCTAGAGCAAATGGGCTGGGTAGGAAAGGAAGCAGTGAGAACTGTCATGGACTGTATTTGAGGCTAGAGTTTGTGAGCTCTGCTGTGTAAGAGCAAAAGTTTTGGCCAGGTGACTAATACATATGTATTTAATATGAAGTGTAGAAATCTGTACGGTATTCTAGGTTATTTCTTTTATATGATTCAGTGGGTATGTATATATAGATACATATTTACTCCCTACGTATTGATACACATGTAAATCTTTACCCTAGAAGAAAGCTAATTGAAGGTCACATTTGTAGCATTTATTGGCCATATCTTTATCATGTGTTTTTTTTCATGATTTGGTTTTATAGGCAGAGGTATTCCCATTCACCACCCTTCCAATTCCTCTTGCCACTTGTTTATTAAGTATTGATGGAATTTTAGAAATGTTAGCAAAATGCAGCTTTGTTCTAAATGTTGGCGGAACAGAAGCAAAAACTCCTGGTGATACTTGACATACATTTGTGGCATTCTTGTAGCTTGGGTATATTTATATTGTAGTACTCAAATTCTTGATCATTTCCTGTTTTGAAGCTCCAGCATAAACTGCATCTGGTAGAGAATAGCAGGGTTTTTTTAAAAAATTTTTTTTTAACATTTTCTGTTCTTCCTCACAGCAGCTCTTGACATATAACCACATCCTGGAGATTTTAGCCCAGACAATCGCTCCCCTTTTTCTTAGAATCCCTTGTTACCATCCTGTTACTGGCATATAATGTTAGTTTTGCACTCTATACTTTGCCATTTAATGTTGACACTTGTATCTTTTCATTTAGATTTTTTTAATGAACACATAGTCTTGTCCTGTAAGGCTGGGGACTGTTACTTTCCCTCTTATTGTGTTAATGGGTATTTGGTAAATGACTACTGGTAGGATGTAAAATTCAGGGGTTTTGAAGCAGAGCATAGATAGTTTAAATCCTTTTGTGTGTTGTTCGGAAAGTGTACAGACTGTTTTTTACTGTTAGTACTGTCATCACCAAAATAGATGAGCCTCAGAATTGATATGACCTGGTAATGAAATGCTGCAGAGTAATTCGAAAAATCATTTCTGGATGGGAGAAGAGGGCATTTGATAGAAAAGCAAGCAAGCTTTCGAATTACAAGTATTTGATTAGAGGAATTATGCAAAAGTTCAATGCTTAAATTAATTTCTGTTCCTTCTTCCTAATCATCATTTGCTGCTCCTAAATAACTATTTGCACACTTTTCTCTAGCTCTCTTTCTTTTCCCAGTTTACATTTATATCCCTGCTTTCTGATTGTTTATCTCAATCTTGTACCTTTTATATGCTAGCATCCAGTGTGAGAAAGGACGGACATGGACTGTTTCACTGAACATTGCTTTCAGTTTATTAAGTTATAATAAGACTCCTCTGCATGAATGCTTTTGGGTTTCAGGATTCCATTTTAAGGTCTGTGTTATTTAGTGTAATTCTTTCCCTTAACAGAACGAATTTGTATAGCATTGAATGAATTTGAGCATTCTTAAGGAATTTATTCAATGCTGGTTACTGCCTTCGGAGCATTAACAAAGCATTGAAATGTCTGGAATTCAAAAAATATGTATCTTCTCAAAGTATATTCTAGTAGTCTTTAGTTACAGATATTTAAAAATTTGAAGCTTGACACTGCCAAAAAAAAAGCTTATAAACAAGTTGAAATTAGCTCTCAACTTTTGCTTAATATTTAATTTTTGTCACTGTCCATCTACTAGTAAGCAATCACTTTATGTACCTGGTTATGTCATTATTTAGCAAATGTTTTGTTTTCCTCTATTTTTTTTTCTTAGCTTATTTTATTTATCATATGCTCGTCCCAAACTGCCTTGTGTTGAAGGAAGAAGCTGCATGATTTGCTAGGAATTTTACGTGTGATAGTCTTTAACCTCAGTTTATGTCTCTCCCCGTGCAGTCCCTTCAGTCTGAATATGTTCCTTACTAAGGCCTTGCCACTCCGGTGAACGCAGCACCACCCTTAGACACAGTTCCTTCATCTGGACAAGCAAAGCAGGGGGAAAGCAGCTGCTTGCTGGAAGAATCTCTCCACCTGCTTACCTTAAATTAAGGCGAGCACTAAGATAACACCTCCAAGAGACTTAAACCAGAACCCTGGCTAATGACTACTACACATGCACTGAAACTATGTTTATGGAGATTCCAACACTTTTTAAGAGAGTTTTCAATGTTGACTTTGGTATTATGAAAGGTTATTTTTAAATGTATTTCAATAATACATTTGTTATTGCATTTACATGTACAGTGTTATGTATGTATTGTGAACTTTGAAAGACTATTTTGATAAATTTATAAATATATAAAAACTAGACTATATTTTGATTTAGATCTTCCTGCTGTTTGTTACCAAAAAGTTCTATTTTCGATTTGTTTAGTTTTGTCAACAATGACTGAATAATTCTTCCTTATTAATAAGAGAAAGCGAGGGAGAACATTTGTAGGAAGTGATTCTTACGTTCCCTCCATAAACACAGCAGATTAGTTCATTCTTTTGGGAAGTTGATTTGGTTTACTGAGTTCATTCACACTTATCTCTACCAGGAGCACTGTTGCTATGGCTTACTAAGTACAAAGCCTTTTTCTTTCTTCGTTTCTTGTTGCTGAGCCATTTAAATTGGTTTTGCATCCTTGGCGGCTTTAAAAAAATGTTCGCATCCTGTTGAAGACCAAAATTCACCGAGTATCTCCTGAAAACATGATTTTCTTCTGTGCTATGATTCAACATTCCAAAATCTTTTATTTCTTTCATTCTTTCAAAAGAGTTCTCCTTTTGAAATGCCTTATATTTTCTCTCTTACATATGCAGAGAGACACGTATTTTAATATTTACATCCAAAGTCACCCAGAACTCTGTCACTAAATACATGTACAAATAGGATTTGAATTAGCAACAAAGCACCTCAAATCATTTTCCCTAGTTAAAATATTCTGCTTTTGGTACAAGGTCGTTGCCTTGTTATCGTACGTAGCCTGATGCCAGTTTCAAGTTAATGAGGATGAGGGAAAAAAAAAAAGCCGGAGAAAGATGCTGCTAAGTAGTTCTCCGTATTCTGGGAGATATTTTACAAATAGCGTGCAACCACCTGGTGTGCACGCTGTTGTATTTGGAACCTAACAAGAAAATGAAAGGGCGACCTTATGGGTATTCACAAGCCTTTTCATGTAAGTATGATCTTTAATTTAGGTTTCCAGAAGTCTGCAGGCGCTAGTTCTGTAAGCAGGGGTTAGCGGGGGGTGGGCTTGGATCCTGGTGCTTTGCCAGGCTGTTTAAGAAGGGACTACTCCGATGCTGAAAGTGCTACTTGAATAACTTCCTTCTTGAAGTGTTTTACCCCCAAACCATTGAGCTACTTATAATGTATTTATTAAGCGGAGGTACCTTGAGATGATTATACATGGTTCAGCAAGGCATCTTATTCATGTCTTATGTTTTGTAAAAAAGCATTTGAATGAATGTTTGACTCAGGTTTGTTAACCTTCAATAAAGGCAGTAACCAAATAATTGCACTCAACTGATGAAAAAATAAACTGTTTTAGGGATCAACAATTAAAATAAGTGAAATTAAATTGTATATCTTTTCTAAGCTGAAGATAAAATATTTTTATTATGAGGTATTGTAAAAGAGATTGGTTAATTGTATAGGAAAATGATAATATTTTTTTCAAATGATCATTGTAAAGTAATTGAGATGATGTTTGCAACGTAGGGGAAGGGCAACTGTTGATATTTTTAGTTCTGTGAACACTAACTTGTGTGCAGCTGTTAAAATGATTGTAAAGTTGACTACTGTAAATTTTCCTGAATTATGTGTGTATGTGTCATATGTATCCACACGTGTATGTCTTAAAATTAGTTATACATGTTTGAATACATGGACACGCAGAGATGTGGATGTATATAATACGGAAAGTATATAGTAAAGTAATTCTACTCTAATAATAAAAGTTGTTTGACATGTATTTTGTTATTAATAGTTTACCTTCTGGAAAATATTTTGTTCTATTTTAAAGTGTAGAAGAATACACTGCTAATAAATAATAAACATTTTGTGAAATTTATTCATGGCCTTTATAATTTGGATTTTAAATTATCAATGTACTGACTTATCTTTATAATTTTATCTTTTGCTTCAGCATTGTTAATTCCTTTGCAATTCTCAAAATTTTCTCTCTGGCTTTTTAATTTATCTTTTGTTGACTTTCTAGCATTGAAACCATTGCCTAAAATACATGACAGTGAGCTCAAAGAAAACTTACTTGAATTTCACAAAAGTCAGATTATAATCTTCACTCTCATTTTTTCTAATTTTCCTTTCTGTTAATAAAATAGTGACCATGGATTCTGCTTGGTCTTTTATGATTATTGATGACTATTGATGATTATTGACAATGGGCATCAATTCCTTTTGGGGAAGAATGGCCATTTTTTTTTTCTAAGAGAAGCTGTAGAGCTAAATCAGATGACACAAACCTCACATCTGTTGGACTCACATCCTGAAGAATGGACTTATAAGGAAGACACTTTCTGCTTGAAGTCATTTTACATATTAAATTGAATCTCTAACTTATGATGTTTCAGGTGCATGTCCATGTGTGTTCCTGCGGTGTGTGTGTGTTTATATTTTTCAGAATGCATAAAAGTTGTGGGTGGGAAGGCAGCTTTTCAATCTCTCTGGAGTTGAGAACCTACAATTTGCTGTTCTCATAACACTGAATGAAACTTGGTATACTACATTCGTGATGGTAGATTATTTCTTAAGAATCTTTTTGAAGGGCAGAAAAACATTTTTTTCTGTACTTGAGCTGTTATAAAATAATAGCAACAAAATTTTCATATACTGGTTGTTGAGTTTACAGTGTTAACCTGAGGTATAAGGTGGTTTGCAAATGTCAAAGTACACCTGTAAATGTTAATCTTTTTGTCTCTCCCTCACTGATGCAGAGAATCTATCAACTAGGAATCTATCAACTATTAACTGCATACATGCATTTCCAATATTGTTTCCACTTATATTATTTCTTCAAAAACATGTTTGATCATTTATGCATTAAACGTTTCTACTTAGCATAATTGGTGCATAGGTTGAGAAATAATCTATATTGTTTTGTATCACATGAAAGATCTCTGCTCATTCTCAAAATACCACTGGAAGGCGGAGTTAATGACACCTGCAAAAGCCCTGCAGCTCTCTCTGTGACATTCAGAAATATAAGAATTTGCTGCATATCTCCTCAGAAGATTAAAAAATAAACCCAGTTATAGCAGGATATGATTTATAGCATACAATGAAACACTTATTTACACATAGCTTGCATAGGAGTGACAAGCAAGGCATATAAAGGAAAGTGGAAAATAATTGTGTTAAGTTATTTTGAGCTGAATTGAAATGTTAATATATTCCCACCCGGTTCCTCCTCTATGGATTGAGTTAATGTAATCATTAGGAAGGAAAAAAATAGACTTTCTAGAGAACTTAAAATTTGGGGAGGGGAGGTGTAAGACCTAGTAGAAACATTTTTTTAAAAACCATTTTTACTCAGAATGTGTTTATTTGGAAATAGTTTGAAATGGACAGAGGCAAAGTGCCGGCCTATTGCACTCCCTGTACCTTGTTTTAACTTTAAAATTGAGGTGTATCACATCACCACCTGCTGTGTCTCCTTTGAATTAACTAAGTGACTAAAAACAGTTTGGAGAAATTGAACTGCAAGTGAAACATTGAACATAATAATTAAAAATAACATATTTACATTGAAACTTCAAAGTTTGGCATAATAATGTGCCCATTATATTTTGTTTATGACTCATTTCTAAGAGCCTGAAGTATTTTCAAAGAACATAGAGGGTGGACCACAGATGAGCTAGTAGGGACTGTGAATTCTCAAATTTGAGACATCAGATGATGGGACCCAAATACGGCAGAAACGGCTTCACTGTGCATTTCTCTGCTCTTCCCTGATGGACATATTTGTACTGAATAGATATTGTTAAGTCAACTCCGGGACTCCTCATTGGGATGTATTTTAATGAAACTTTAAGAAGTTATGGATTCCAAGTGAGATTGTTAATTTTGACATCCAGATTCCCCAGCATAATTATGTAAGGTGTGTGGGATAAAGCTCAAGACACAAATTGATACTACACTTGATCTTAGCCAAAAGGCCAAGAAGCGATCAAGAGACAATTTGAAACCAGTAATAAAAATAGCATGATGGGGCCCAGTTACATCGCCTAGTGGTTAAAGTCCTTGCCTTGTATGCCCGGGATCCCATATGGGTGCCAATTCTAATCCCGGCAGCACCACTTCCCATCCTGCTCCCTGCTTGTGGCCTGGGAAAGCAGCCGAGGACAGCCCAAAATCTTGGGACCCTGCACCCATGTGGGAGATCAGGAAGAATCTCCTGGCTCCTGGCTTCGGATTGGCTCAGCTCCAGACATTGCGGCCACTTGGGAAGTGAATCATTGGATGGAAGATCTTCCTTTCTGTATATCTGACTTTCCAATAAAAATAAACAAATCTTTTTAAAAAATAGCATGATGCTAGCTTATCATCAATCTGTATCACCATCATTTATCTCAAGCTTATATATGGTCTTCATCAGAGCTAATGCAGATTTAGTAGGGTTAATGAAAATATAACATTCCTAGTGATAAGGGGTGATCCATCTTTAACAAAAGCAAAGCAAAAACAAACCACAGACAAGAGGGAATTCGTTCCTTAAAATCTAGATTTGCAGAGATTTTTAATGCCATATGGCACATGGTTGGAGAGATATATCCTAAGAGGTGTTTCAGGCACTTTATGAATTCTAGCAAGATCTAAGTAGATAAGTCTTCAAAGCTTGTGGCCTCTCTGAGTGTGACCAGCAGGGTCAGAAAGAACAGACATTTTCTGATTAAGGAAATGTATAATTTTCACGTTCTCTGTCTCCCATACAAGAAGACCAGCCAGTCCCAGGTTTCTGTTGCTTCAGATCTAGCTGGCAGCGTACTTTTCCATGTAGGTCACATCTTGAAAAACCAAGGAATGGAACTGAGATGTTAGAATAGTTGAGTCTATTTTAAAGTCAAATCTGTTGGGAAAATTATCCTTAATTAAAGACTACTGTTTAAGTGACAGGTAGTTAGGATAGTTAATTTTTAAGGTAAAGCGAGAGAGGAAAAGTTCACCCATCTGGTCTGCAGGAGCGAGAAAAGTCAATTACTCAGCATCGAATCGTGTGCTTGTGGAGTTATCAGCAAGCACTGTGTGGGAGACCCCAGGGCCACTTTGCATTCAGTGGTGAGGAGCACTCTGAGGACTCAGCATGTAAGAGTGTGTGCATGCACAGCTGAGATTTGTGCCAGTGAACAAATGCAAAGTCAAGTCCGCAAAGAAAAGTGGCACATGTAGTGAGGTCCAGAGGAAAGCAGGGAAGAGCTTCCATGAGCCCTCTCCCAGCGGTGCTGCACACGCCATGTCTACTTAATTCCCCAGAAGCAATCAGTGTGGCAACACATGGGCATGGTTGTCTAAGAGGGAATCTCGTTAGAGACTAAGCAAGGTTTCTACTTAGAGCTTGGTCGTGTAGGCACCTTGCGCCTAGCATGAACCAAAATTCCTGACTCCTGTAAGGAAAGCAAGTGCTCATCATAAACCACAGCCCAGCACAATGAACCACTTTTAGCCTAGCTGTTTTACACCAGCATGGAGAGCATTTACAAGTCAAGTTCTCAGATGCATGACAAGGCCAAATTTGCAGGTAAGTAGTCTTACCTATTTGAACATGCTTCTGTTCACTCTGCATCAAGGCCAACTAATTCTGCAAAAGCTAATACTGCACATTTAAATGAATGTGTACTTCTGCCTCATGAACTTGACCCCAAGTTTTTTTTTTTTCAGAAGACTTTCTTTACTCGAGTAGGGAGAGAGTGATGATTTGCTGACAGGAATTCTATGATTTTAGGACTCCATCAGAGTTTGAGATTCTGTCTTAATTTTAAAGATATGAATTTGGCGATGCTTTACCTTCTCCCCCTAAAATACCCTCCTGACCAAAAACTTGTTAGCATCCTGTGTCTCCAAAATCCCAATCTTCTTCAGGTAGGAAAATCTCCCCACATCCTCCTTGTTTTAAGAGAAAAGTGGGTCTAAATATTTGACTCTCAGTATCTGTGACCCTTCCCTCTGCCTTAGAAAGCAAAAGAAAGAGAAGCAATTCATATCGCTTTAAAAGTAGTGCAATTAAAACAAAGTCAAAGGAAAAAATGGTTGCAAGACAGACAAAAACACCCTTGAAATTTAAAAAAATATGTATTTAATTTGAGGTATAGATAAAAATGATAAACACGTTGTCTCAGGACTGTTGTAAGATAGTCTAGAAATCGGTTATGATGCTTAGTGTGTCACCTTGCTCACAGTAACTGTATTATTAACGTCACTGTGAGTGCTACAGCTTTCATAGATCCACAGATGCTGGGCTGGCCATCTGAGAGAAACAGTGTTGAGCTGACAAGAATAGTTACCCTGGACTATTCTCCATGGGGGACTCTGACGCACGAACCCAGCACAGGGTGGCACACCTTCGACACCAGCATGGGTGGGAGGCTTGTGGGCATCTGTCACAGGCCCTGCACAATCATCCAGGTGGTGCAAATCTTTAATGACTTCAACAAATTTATTTTTAAAATCTGCTCACCTACTTTCATGTAATCCACAAAGTCAACCTTTTTGGCAGTCTGCTCACCTACCTTCTTTGCAAAGCCTCTTCCACTCAGAGCTTGATAAAATAATTTTCCCCTCTCACTAAGCTCTGCATCCTCAATTAACAGTGTACATGTTTTATTGTTGCAACCCAGGCCACTGCCTCAGGATAAGCACAGTTTTTGATTTTTTAAATGTTTCTTTTCACATTTTCATTATGTTCTTAAAAAATTGTTACCTAGATTCATTTTTATTGGTAGATCTCTAGCTATTGGGGCTAGGAGTCTGGTGAAATTGGGTTGATGAAGCTTTCTTCAGAACATGGGGCTTTGAAGAGGCTGTGTCCGAAAGGACTTTGGGAGGTTTAGTGGGCTAAGGCCTCTGGTGGCCAGAAATGGTCGAGGCAGTGGGAGCGTTCGAAGGTAAGAACTCAGATGCACCCACAGAGAGCAGAAGAAGTCTGTGGCCTGACATTCTCTCTCAGCAAAGTGTTTTGAATGGTAACTGGAACAACAGGTAAAGTTCAGATTGTCATGCTCAGGCTCATGATATGCTGAGCAGGCAAACAGCAAACTCATGGGGAAAACTGGATCATGCTGGTCAGTGGATATAAACTGAAAGTTATAATAGATGCATACATCATAGATGTCTATTCAACAGTGCACTTATAATAACAATACAGTGTTGGGAACTGAATTTTTAAGAGGGCAGATCTCAAGCTGTTAAGGATCTCAAATCTTATACATGTGTGCACACACACATATACCTGGGACACACAGAAACTTGGAGGTAATGGATATGTTTGTTACTACTGTTGTGATGACCTGACAGGTATACGCACATACCTAAGCTAATCAAATTATGTTGATTGGCTACTGCAGTACATCATTTGTACTTCAATAAAGTTGTTAAAACTATGCAAAGGAACAGATGTTCT